CTGGGCCAGTTGTGGCATGGTATGCCATCTTAAAAAACATTTCCATCATTCCACTTCAGTTGACAAACCTCAGAAAGGGTCCAAACCCGTCTCCCCTACTAGTCTTAAGTCTGGCCCTAAGCATGACTTCATGTCAAAAGTTCAAGTAGTGGGTCTCTGCAGTCACTGAATAGGAATTTCTTGTTCTGTGGGAGGAGTTTGTCCAAGACATGAACTGTTATCTTGACCCCTTTCTCRCTAGATACATCCACACGACCAGCATCAGAATTGGTGTCCACCAAGCTTCTAAAGAATCTTCTCAAAACTAGAAATATGGTTGATATCTGGAGGGTTCAACATCCCACATGTAGAGAGTGAGTACTCTCTACATTTTACTCACGTATTCATAAATCCTACAGTAGGATTGATTAYTTTCTAACAACTAACAACCTTGTCACTCAAATTGCTAAATCTAAATATCATAATACTGTATACTAATTTCTCATAATAGTCCCCTAGCTAAATCATTAGATTTCTCCCTCCCCAGACAGGCGACATATGCAAATCTTTTCAATGACAACTTTGTTAAAAACATAACCTCTAGATTAAGGAACTTTATAGATATAAATGACAACAGTGAAGTATCTAATTCCATCTTATTGGAAGCATTGAATACCATTTTGCGTGGCGATATAATTTCCTTCACTTCTGCTCTTAAAAAAGAAAGGGAGAAATTCCTTTCTGAAATCAATAGTGCTCGCCCCAGTTTGGAAAATAAGTACAAAATCTCAAAATCACCTGAGGACTACAGGGAAATACTGAATCTAAAATATGAATACAGTGGTATTGTGAGTAACCAGGTTAGTAACTTTCCTTTGAAATTACAACAAAAGCATTTTGAGTTTGGGGATAAACCTGGAAAACTGCTAGCGCGACAACTTCAAGGTGCCCAATCCACAAGATCAATTTACAGCATCAAATCTAAAACCAGCACTCTTTTGACCAACCCTGCTCAAATTAATAGCAGATTTAGGCAGTTCTATTCTAAGCTATATTTGTCTGAGAAAAAAGTGACAATCTAATTTTAATGATTTCTTTAAGGCCCTTCTGCTGCCTAAACTGAATAAATCTGATAGGTACTATCTTGAGTCAGATTTAACACTTCAAGAGGWCAAAGATGCGATAAATTCCCTTCCATCTGGCAAAGCTGCCAGACCTGACGAGTTTGGCTCAGATTTCTATAAAAAGTTTAGTGACCYACTTGCATCACTTTTACGTAAAATGATGTCTAATTCAAAAAAGCTGGAAAATTGCCCATAACTCTCTATGAAGCTAACATTTCTCYTTTTCTGAAAAAGGGAAGAGATGAAATGGAGCCTGCTAATTTTAGGCTGATTGAACTACAAAATTTTGATCGCAAGATAATCACAAAAATTCTTTCCACTAGACTGAATAAACACATATGATCTATTATCCATCTGAACAGACTGGGTTCATCCCCAGCAGATTGTCTTTCTTCATTGTAAGGCAATTGCTCAATACTGTATACCAGGACCACAAAAATACCAATGGAGCCCCTATTCTGGCCCTTGATTTGCATAAAGCCTTTGACCAGGTTGAATGGCCTCATRTGTTTGAAATATTGTACAGGTTTGGTTTTGGCGAGACCTTCATTTACTGGRTGAAACTGATATWTCAAAAGTCGATGTGCTCTGTCCTGACAAATAACGATTGGTCAGCCACTTTTGGCCTTCAGCATTCAGTACAGCAGGGTTGCCCACTGTCACTGCTGCTCTTTGCCATTGCATTGGAACCGCTTGCAGTAGCCATTAGAGAGCACCCACACATTGAGGGGCTTCGAGCCAGAGGAATAAAAATGTTTGTTAGTTTATACGCTGACAACATATTATTAWATTTGCATGATGTGGTAAAATATGTACCTTTCCTCCTCCACTTGAATACATCTTTCAGTAAAATTCCCGGTTTACAATCAGTTGGTCAAAGAGTGAGCTAATGCTTCTTTCTGATACTCATCAGGATTTTTACAAAAAGTTCCTTTCAAAGTGGTTAAGAGTCATCTCACCTATCTGGACTTGACAATACCCAAAGACCCAAAATTTATATTTAAACTAAAGTTTGCAGCGTTTATATCAGGGCTAAAGGAAAACATTGAGTACTGGAAAACTTTGCCAATTTATGTCAAAATCTTCGTATTTTTTGCAAAACAGCCTTTTTTAAGGACCTGGACTCGATAATTCAATCTTACATGTGGAATGGAAAAAATGCCAGGATTTCTAGAGGGCATTTGCAGAAGCTAAGGGAGGAGGGAGGGCTGGGCCTGCCAGTATTTAAACATTAATGATGGGCTGCTAACATCAGAGCGTTGATGTACTGGCAACAGGGGCTTCCACATAGCTTAGTGGTCGAAAACCCCTTGTGGCTCAAGATGGAAGCCAAATTAGTGAAAAATTCCTCTTTACCTGCTATGTTGTTTGCCAGTTTTGAAAAACCAGAAACCTATAGGAATTTGAGTTTTGTGTTAAAACACTAATCCTGAATAAGAATCCTGAATCAGATCAGGAGTTTCCTGGCACTATCAAATACATCCGCTCAGACGCCGATATGCTTTAACCACAGTTTGTCACCTCAGGACAAAGTTTATCATTACTGGAGGGAAAAGGGCTTGGTGTCAATTAAGGATATGTATATTGGCAACAAGTTTGCATCATTCAGCCTATTGAAAGATAAATAAAATCCGCCCCATACACATTTCTTTCGATATCTGCAAAAAATTGAGAATTTCAACACTCTTCCACAGGAGCATGGCATTTATGATGACCTAAGAAGCCCCCCTGACTCTAGGCATCTTATTTCAAAAATTATACGTCTATTCAGTCATAGCACTGTGGCACACACTACAAAAATCAGAAATGCTTGGGAGAATGAGTTGGGAATGACAATTTCTGAATCTAAGTGGAATATGTGCCTTTCTGAAATCCGCTCTTGTTCAATAAATAGCAGGCATCAATTAATTCAATCACTCACCGGTTACACTATTCTAAGGTCAGATTGCCCTTCTGTCTCCCCAATGTGTGACAAATGTAATATATCGGAGGGTACACTAACACATGCTTTTTGGTCTTGACCTTCACTAACTGGCTTTCGGTTGAAAATATTTACTGGTACTCCAAGGCCTATAAGATCCCTTTATGACCTGAACCAGGACTAATCATTTTTGGATGCCTTCTAACACCAGCAACTATACCTGCTGCAATGCGGCAGCCACTGGAACTTGAACTGATTGTTGCCAAGAGAATAATCCTGGGAGATTGGAAGTCTTCTAGTCCTCCCTCTTACCATCCATGGGTGACTGACATGTTGTCCATATTACAAATGGAAAAACATTGTAAAGGCTCCAAGGATACTTTTCTGTCTTATTGGAATCCCTTCCTAGAACACTTCGCAAATTCTAAAAACTCTTCCCTCTGCCACATTTAGTATGCATCTATACATTTGTATATGTGAGTGAGTATGTACAGGTCCTTCTCAAAAAATTTGCATATTGTGATAAAGTTCATTATTATCTGTAATGTACTGATAAACATTAAACTTTCATAT